AAAAAAAAAAAAAGAAAGAAAAGAAAAAGGGAAAAGAAGGAGGAAGAAGAAGCAATGGTGGCATGTTGCGCGAAAAGCGACGACGCGCGAGAGAAGGAGGAGGAGGAGGGCAGCAGGCGAAAGGCCAGGCAGGGGGTAGCAGAGGGCAAAAAGCGGAAGAATGGCAAAAGGCGGAAACGCGGAGGAGACAGATACGCGAGAGAGAGAGCGGAAAGGTGCAGGTCCGCGACCCGACTGACCCTGCGTCGTCGTCTTCGAGTCTGTCGCTCCAACCCTACTCCCTCCTGGCGCCCTTACCCTCACCCTTAGCCTCGGGGGTGGATTGAAACGGGCCGGCCCATTTTTCGCGCCCCACTTGACTCCTCGTCCCCATTGGTCGCCGCCCTCTCGTCCCGTGACCTCTCATCCCTCGTCGTCCTCGTCGTCGTCGTCGACGTGTTCTCTATTTCCAGAATGCTCGCTCGTGAAAGAAGTGTATCCAGGGAAACCGAAGGATATCCGTGAAACGCTTATCGTCTTGACGTTGTGTCGAATGCTCTGATCGCCTCTGCGTTTCACTGCGTTTTCTTCGCTTGCTGACCGGTTCGTAGCCGATTTTGTTGTGGGACAATTCGATCGTGAAGGTTGGAAGAAGAAGAAGACTTCCTTTCGAAGATCGTTACACGAAAAAAAAAAAAAGGGGGGGGGGTCTCGTTGATGAAAGAGTATCGATAAACGAGCAAATTCTTGATAAGCAAGGACTCGGTGAATTCGAACATTCGTCCGAACACTGTCTGTCTTTTGACTGATCTCGCGTGTCTTTCTTTACGATCGACATCGAAGGGACATGTCGAAGATCTTGGTCACGAGTCACGAGCAAGGGAAAACGAAGACGGAGAAGAAAATCGGCGAGCGTGGAAAGCGAATGCGCTTAGACAGGGAAGAGATCGGTGGATTTCGGTGGTGGTATACCGGCTGTTGGAGAGAAAAGAGTCGGAGGGAACGAGAGTCGCGGGACCGCGCGCCACGATGACCGGTGAACAGCGAGAGGAAAGAATGAGTGAGAGAGAGAGAGAGAGAGAGAGAAAGACGCGAGGTTTTCAGTTGCGGCCGGTGAAAGGGAAGAAGAAGAAGAAGAAGAAAGAAACGCGAGACGAGAGAGCGAGTGAGCAAGAGTGACAGTAGAGTGGAGTGTGGAGTGAGGAGAGGAGAGACGAGAAGAAGAGAAGATTGTGTAGCCTCTTCGGCGGCGAAGCGTACGCGAAAGGACGATCAGGCAGGCAGGGTGAAGAGGGAAAGAGAGCGGTCGGAGGGCGCGAGGGTAGGGCAGGTTCGTAGCCAATGAGAGGCGCATCGGGGCGCGCCCGGGACTCGACCCCACCTTCGGTAGTCATGGCAACTGGCGAAAACCCGCGAGAAACCCGCGAGAGAGTTCGCGCTGGTGGGGAACAGGTCGGTGTCAGGGGTCGTCTTAGTCGGCAGTCGGTCTCTGGTCGGCCCCAAGAATAGTCGTATCGAGGCGGTAGTCGAGTATCACCTCTCTTCTCCTCCTCCAGCTTGTGCCGGCACGAGCGCACTCGTCAACCTACACAGGGGGCACACGCGCAGCTTATCGACTGGGTTGCGCGCGCGCGCGCGCGGGTTCCTTCTCTTTTTCTCTCTTCACTTCCTTCTCTCTCTCTTTCTCTCCCGCTCTTTCTTCTCACTCTCTCTCTCTGTAACTCTTCTCCTCCACCCTCTCCTCCTGAGCATACACACATACACACACACACACACACACGCAGTGTGCACTCTCTCTCGATACCTCGTGGCTGCCCTCAATCGTGGCCACCGTCGTGTTTCTCGCTCCTTCTGCCCGGTCCTCCACCTCCACCTCCACCTCCACCTTCGCCTCCTCCTTTTTCGCCTCATTCTCCCACCACGGTTCGCGATCTTCGTCGTTCCTCGGTGCTCGATACCGCGATCCTTTGGCCTCTCTTCCGCCGTTCTCTCCGCGTGCTACTACCACCTCTACCGCTCGTCCAACTCCCACTCTGTTTTGTGCGTGAAGCACACACCCTCTCCGCCCTGTGACTCGGTGGCTCGTGCCAACGCGCATCCACCCAGCGTCGATATACCACGATATCGCGACGGATACCAACGACGCGGGGATACGCGGCTGATCTACCGCGTGCGCGCGATCGCGATCTCGATCTCGATCCCGATCCCCGATCCTGATCACGAGACGCGCGACCTGCGCCTCACCCGAAACGGAGGAGTCAGTGCTCGGTGGTGTTGTCGAAGCTCTGCGTGTTTTCTCTCGTCTAACCTGTCTCTTCGTGGTACGTCTCTTCCTGACGAGGACGTCGCGCGCGCGCGAGAAAAAGAGAGAGAGAGAGAGAGAGAGAAAGAGAGTGTGTGTGTGTGTGTCGCGAAGTGTACGCGCGCGTGTGCGCGCGTGCTCGATCGACCGAGCGTCGACGAGGTGGTCGTCGCGAGTTTTCACCGATCGGTGGATCATCTTCGCAACCTGTGACACGCGAATCGAACGTGGGAATCGAACGCGTGTGGAACGCGAGTAATAGGCGATCGATCGGGCCCAACCGGGTGGTCGGTGTACGTCGGCCAGTGGTGGTTGTCGACCAACCCAAGGACCAACGAATCGTCGCCAAGCTAACCAACCCATCGCGAGGATGCCGCGCTCGGGATCGAGATACCGAGGTCGTCCAGCAAACTCTGTCTAGTGCGCGTGTGAGTGAGGAAAAAAAAAAAGTGCGTTGATCGTGAATTGGGCCGCGGCACGTCGTCGTTGTCGAGGTGGTGGTGGTGGCGGCGGCGCGAAACGGACGATCGAAACGAAAAGACCGAAAACGAAAGGGAACGTCGCGTTACTCTACTCTAAAATCTCGGAAGAAATCTCGGAGAGCATAGTGCATAGGGAACAAGGAGGAGTCATCGTGAGAAGAACGAGTGCGTGAAAAGAACGACGTACGAGAGGTGAAAACGACGTAGAGTGGTGGTGGGTGGTTATTGACGATCGAGGTAACGACGACGAGAAGCGAACGACGAGAATCGAAGAGCAAGAATCGAGAAGGAGCAGGGACGAAGGACGAGGGGTGGTCGGTGGTGGTTGCAGTCAAGAAGAGGAAACCGGCAGGGTGGTTCGAGGTGGGACAGGAGGCGCTGACGCCCTGGCGACTGCCGGGGTGGTTTACCCGGCCGCAACAGCGACGTTGTTTCCTGGCCGGGTGTCAGCTGGACACCACCACCCCGAGTTCACCACCACGTTGGAGGTGGGGTTCCCGGCGCGCGGCACCACCGCCTCTATGGCGTTGGTAGCCGCGCCGCCCTCGTGGTCTTCGCGAGACCCCGGGGCCAGCTTGGCCGCAACCGGTGCAGCCGCTGCTGCTGCCGCCGCTGCAGCCGGTGCAGCGGCTGCAGCAGCGTCCGCCGCTGGTCCGGGCCCTATACAGATCGCCCCACCGCCCCCGATGCCGCCGACTCACCTGACACCATCCGCAACGCCGGAGGACATCACCTGCCTCGTGCCAGCCGCTGGTGCTGTTCTCACGCCCAGAGACCCCCTGCCGCCCAGCACCACCCCCGGAAGTCAAGCAAACAGCTCGCAATCCGGTAGCTCGCAAACTGACAAATCGCCCAACATCGAGTGCGTCGTCTGCGGGGACAAGAGCAGCGGCAAACACTACGGCCAGTTCACCTGCGAAGGTAAGTGACCCTTGCTAGCCACCACACCCTGCCTCCTCTTCGCGCTCCAACCATCGCTACTACCGGGGAAAAACAAAGACTCGCCCATTAATAACTCGGTAGGGTGTTCCTCGGGACCCGCTCGCGCGTATGTTACGAGCCTAATAACGATGTAATAGGGCTGGAGGAAACGCGGCAGGAGGAACCGAGCGGCGGGCTCGCAAGCGAGTGTGACGGAGAGGGAACGGGGAAGGATCGACGATAGCTCGCGACTTGGCAAGAGTAGTTAGGTTGCCGCATGTGTATTCGTTCACGACTCGATCTTTCGCGTTGAGTTTTTTTTTTGTTTTTTTTTGTTTTTCTTCTCTCACGTCGAGGAAAACCACGACGACGAAGAAAAATATCGCGATCGGTGTACCACCGGCCGAGGGTTAATCGAAATGTATGGGCGCCGTCTCTCGGAAATGAGAAGTTACGCATCCTCCCACGGGCCTAGCTCCTCTCTCGTCGAATCGTGTCGCATCTCCCTCGTTTTCGCCCCTGTTCCTGCCTATTATCCCGAATTACGCCTCGTCGATATCCGATCGTGCGGGGTAATTTCTGCTCGTGCGAGTGATTTAACGCGTTCCAGTCCCGATCCATCTCTCGGGCTCTTTCTCCGAGTCGAAAATCCTCTCGCTCCCGGCGCGCTCTCGACGAGCAAGTGCGTGACACCCGGTGACGAGGAATTTAAGGGCGCGACCGTGTCACCCTTTCGCAGGTTACCAAAACTTTGATGCCCCGTTAGGTTTTAGGATCGACGGACGGTCATCACGGTTCTTTGTTCTTTTGTTCGTCAGGGAGAAACCTTCAGGGCCTGGGAAACGGTTATGCTCGATGCGTGTGTTGGATAAGTAACTCGATCGAACTAGCCTTGGGGCAAATGAAAGTGGTTATGCCACGTACATACGTGTAATCGTTCGTACACGCAAGTCGATCAAGTTCACTCGATTTTTTTTTTTTTTTTTTCGTTTCGTCCGTTGCGACTCTGTAATAAGTGTACTGTCATTTCTTTATGTTATGGTACATCGTCTTCCCTCATTCCCGTATTTTATCAGTATCATCAACGAGAGAAACATCAACGTGTCGAAAAGTGAAGTTCGTTTTAAATTAAAGTACCTCCTTTTAAAGTTCCAAAGTAAATGTCCATAGTATGTAGTTTCGTTGTATTAACGTTAAAAGAGAGAATTGTTTAATAAAAGTGAGATTTTCGAGATGACTAGACTCACGTTTAATCGATAATAGTTCTATTAATGCAATAATAAATCGAATTAAAGTTCTGGAAAGTGGACATTTGTCACGCAAATAATTTTATATTTATTTCGCAAATGTAACGCGTAAATGGGACACTTATTAGAAAGGAAGAAACTCATAATTCTATCGATTCTAATATATTAAATATTCTCGTCTTGCAGAGTTTCCGTCGTTAAGAGAGATCAAGGTGGGATTTCTGATGTATGTCAAACACTTGTACACACATCGGATATATTTAGATGCACTGATTTTCTTCTGTTTTCGTGAAAAATCTTTGTTACACTAAAGATCCTGCGTCTGCGACGTTCGAAGATTCACCGGCCCAAAAGACATATTGTTAATCCAGTATTCAGTATTTAAGTGAAACGAGTTGAAGAACGAACACTTGTGATATAGTTGTTAACGTCACTCGAACATGTTAACATCACCGCGATGTGATACTCTGCGACGTGAGTGCATAATTTCTACTCGTAGAATCATCTAGGTAAAAGATACTAGGATTTCTTCTCGTCAAGATAATTATTGATTTATTTTTAGATATTTGTGAGCAACCACTCCCTCGTTTTTTCACGCTGACAGAAAGCCCTAACGTTCATCGCGTTTTAGCAGAATTATCATTATTCTGATTGTCGTTTATTCTGAAGGAAAGGTCGTCGATTCTTTGATCGACATTTGATTTCTAGCATCGTCTAGACGATGCCAACGATTGCAACTTGTGTCAAGAGGAGTAATCCGGGAACTGAGTTAGAGGAAACGTGATCCAGGAGTTCAGAGATCAAGGTCCACTAAACGAGATTTACAGTTGAAATTCGAGATTTACTATTCACGATCCGGGATCCGAGAGACATCGTAGCACGCCGGTGTCATCACCTTGTCATCGCTGTCGTTTCACTGTCGTCTTCACTCAGAAATCTCAACAGTAGTATTTTATTATAATCCGCTACGGTATAAACTTCGTTTACGTGAACTTGCCCAAGAACAAATAATAATCAGAGTACGCACGATTCGAGTGATGAGAGTGCACGAATTCTTTCTGTCAGTGATTTTTCGTTCACGTAACAGGACTTTGATTTCAAATAAACAATGGGTTTCATCGAACAATGATTCATGTAATCGAGTGCTGACTGAAACTTGATTCAACCGAAGAGCTCGTAAAGAATCCACCGTGTAGTAAAACTTCGTTTACGTGAACTTGTCGAAGAACAAATAATAATTGGAGTTGATGCGATGTCAAATCTCACAGGAGTCCACGAAAATTCTCCCCACTGTCAATGATTTGTTTGTTCATATGATAGTATTTCTCAAGTAAGTGGGTTCAATCTGTCAAAGGTTGACAGTTAATCGAGAACTGACTGAAATATTGTCCAAATGAGACATTTGCACAATAAAAAACTTCGATTATACGAACTTGCAGAAGTTTAAATCCGCTAATTCTCCTAATAATTGTTTCTTCGGGGAAAAGAAGCTCGATTTCGGCTGTTATTCAAATTTACTCTTACTTTTCGACCAGCACGAGGTTTTCTACTACCGAGAACAGACACAGAAACGAAAGTCGTGTCGCAGTGAAAAGCATTCTGAAAAGTCGCGCAGGGAAAAGCAAAGACACGGTTCATCCAGTCGACGAAATCACCGACGCGTACGTGTACATACGTCAAGGTGCGTGCGTCTGACGCTTATAGGAAGTTCCACGTTTGCATGCCGAGTCGCTAACCGGGCGAGCGTGATCGACGACGATGCCTACGCGGTCTTGTAAATCCTCGGGACGATGTGGACACGGAAACGGAAGGTTCGCCGGTTCTTCCGCGAACTCCGTCGTTTCTTCGCTGAATTTACGAATATAAGTGCCACGTCATATATCTTTTTTTTCTTTTTTCACCGTTACATAGCATCCTCGGTACGATGGATTACCAAACTCTCGTTTAAAATTCGCAAGTGGACATCGCTCTTGTCTCTCTTTCTCTCTCTCTCTCTCGCTCCCAGAAAATAGCACGCAAAAGTTCGCGAGCAGGGCGGCCGCGTACTTCGCGTTCGCCCGCCGACGAAATATCGCAGTTTTCGCGTCGTAAATCGGCAGAGACATTTATTCGCGAGGTGTTTCACGCTGGGAGGGAATCGTCGATTCCGGGAATCGCCGGGAACCAATTTGGAAATCTTCGATCGGATCGTTTCCGCGTACCTCGGTACGGCGGATCGACGTAGAGAGAAGAGAATGATCGAAGCCGATCGCGAGTCGGTCGCGTGGTTCGCGTGCGACGAGTACGAAACTACGAGTCACGCGACGTCGCTCGATTCTCGCCGATTTCCCGGTACTGTTTTCTTTTTCCTCTTTTCTTCTTGGTTTTTCTTTTTCTTCTTCTTTCAAGTGTCGTCGACGCTGAAAGTTTTCCTGTAAAAAGAATGTATTCCGTTGTAAAATTCAAAGTCATCGGTCGAATGATCGAATAACTGGAGAACGTTCTCTCTTGAACAATATCGCGGGTGATAACGATTTTGTCTAATTTAATTCTAGTTAAAGGGGAAAGATCCGTGAAAGACGAAACATGTAAGATGCATCGAGTTAAAATTGAATAGAACTTGAACAACATCGGGCGCGATCGGTTATGAATGTTTTGTAAATTATCTTTCTTCAGAATGCTGAAAGCATTAATATGGTTCGGGTTACAAGTTCATTTATTACAGTAGGTTAGGCTACAAATTGTAAATTATCGAAATTTTGTTGAAACGTCCGTGATGAAATTAATGCGAAAATTCAGTCCTATTAAAAGTCTTAAATTCAACGTTGTAATCGATCTGATATTACTTGTTGAAAGTTGAAAGAGCGAACGAACTTGGGACGAGGCCGTGAGTTCTCTGTGTTTCTCGAAATGAAATTCGATTGGAAGTTTTCGAAAGTAAGTAGGTAATCTAGTTTTAAATTGCAATTGTGCTCAATGTTCGATGACGCCTAAGCGTTAAAGAAGGATAAAATGAAACGCAGATTTTCTTCTTCCACGGGTATCGTATAGTTCGCTAAGACTCTCACAGACAATTATAGTATAAGTTACAGTCCTACTTTCACATTCCCTGTCACTCGAAATTGATACTAAAGTTGAACTTTAGAGAAAAAAATTCTGAAACTTTTAACTTCCATATCCACTGACACCAGTTAAGAATGAAGGAACAACACGCCAATTCTACGTGCTTTTTCACCTACAATAGTTTATTAGTTGCAATTACCAGAGTTACAAATGACTATTTACGTTAGATTACCAAAATTTTGAGTCTTATATTTTATTTCACTTTGTATTTCACATTCTCCGTGGTAGTAAAATTAACTTGATACCTAGTTAGGGATTAAAGAAGCAAACGAACTGCCAGTAAAACTCTAATTTTTCATACCTTCTCACTTTTTGGAATATCGTAACAGTGTGAGGTTAAATCTGAAATAGTATTCGTAGATTGCAAAATGTAGTGTTGTTATTATTATTCACTTTATTTAAGATCACATTAATCGTTTAAACGCGATCACGATTAATAAAATGAATACTTGGCAAGAATGTAGACTACAGAAACAAGCTATAAAGAAATAAAGAGACTTAATGATAGTATGTATATTCTAAGAACATAGTACGTATGATACAATATACAGTCAGTCACAAAATTATTGGGACACTGTGTAATCTTGAATTCTAACATTAATATTTTGGATAAATGTACAACATAGTACATACAACACATACAGTACAAGA